TTTTTTTTTTACATGAAAAGATTTTTTAAAGTTCGTCATTTATTTCTTTTTATTTTTTATTTTTTGACAGAGAGATAGCAAGCAGGGAAGGGGCAGAGAGAGAGGGAGAAAAAATCCCAAGCAGGCTCCACCCTGCCAGTGCAGAGCCCTACGCGGGGCTGGAACTCACAAACTGCGAGATCACGACCTGATCCAAAATCAAAAGTCAGATGCTTAACCGACTGAGCCACCCAGGTGTCCCCTGTACCTGATGCTTTTAATTCCAGAGACCTTTATAGATTCTGAGATGTACATTGTGTGCTTTTCAACCTGCCCGTTGTTGGATGAGGATTTGGCCTTCCAGGCTCTTCTAAGTCTATTACTATTTATTCATTTGGCAAGTCCTTAAGTGCGTGCTCTGTGCCAGCACTGTTCTAGGTGTTGAGGATACATCGGTGAACAAAACAGACAAAAACCCTTGTCCTGGAATACTCACATTCCAGTGCAGGGAGACGGGCAATAAGCAAAAGGAGGAAATGGCAGAACATCCTGGGAGGTGATATGGGCTGTGGAAGAGAAGTAGAATGTGTCCGAGGGTTCAGAGTTACAGAGTTGCACCTGTAGGTGTGGGGGTGGGTGTAGATTAGAGGTTTTGTTTTGGGTATGTTAAGCCAGAGGTGTTTATGGAACATGTAAGTGGAGACAGCAGGTAGGTAGTTTGAGATGTGCCCAGCGAAGGTTCAGGGGAGCAGTTCAGGTTGGCGATGAAAATGTGGGAGGTCGTACTCAGAGATGGGATTTCAAGCCTCAGGGCTCCATGAAATCGCCTCTCTTCCAAATGATTTGCAGCTTCCAGAACTGTTTTTCCTATCCTTGCAGGTTTATAGATTTATGTCTTTTTTTTTTTTTTTCCTTTCCTTTTTTTATGTTATTCACTCTTATTCGGGGCCAGATTGGTTGTGTGTTCACTCTGCCACGTAATACCGTGTCTCACTGTTGTGGCTGTTTTACTGGCCTTTTATTGTGGTGGGGGGAGAGACATCTATGAAATTGGAGTAATCTGCGGAAACCTTCACACACCCGTCCGTCGGCTTTCTGGAAAGACAACGACTTTTGCTTTCCCCACAGGCAAGAAGGCTGCTGGATCTTGCGACCGTGAAGGCGAATGGGTTGGCCGCCTTCCTTCTACGACATGTTCAGGAATTGCCAGTCCCGGTGGCCCTGCCTTTCGGTGGTATGTATATGTTCTTCTCAGTTCATCAGAAAGGGAAAGAAAGGCTGTACAGATTGAAGGTTAAGAGCGAAACTCCAGAGCGAGACATCCGTTAGATTTCTACTCACTGGCTGTGCAGGCCTCCCTCAGGCTCAGTTTCCTGATTTCAAGGATAACACCACCACCGACTCACCGGGCTAGTGGGAAGATCGAAAGGGTTCCCATGTGTAATACTAGGGTTAGCTTTTATTCGTGAGCTGCACCGTGAAAACTGGAGCTACCACGCGTTGAAGCTAAAAACAGGTGTCCCATACTGGCCAAACTTATTATCTGCACTGAAAAGGAGACACTTTTGAGATAGGGCTGTTATCTCTTGATTTCTGCAGTCACTATCAGAAACCCCAGGACTGAGTGGATTTAGATAATGTGGTATCTCTCATTGCACACGGTTCACTGACCCATCTCTGGAACGGGAGGGGCTCGGATAACTCAGCTGCAACAGCTCAGGTGTCCTCCCGGGTGAGTGATGGGCTGGGGAGCACAGTGCCCCGACTGGCCCTTGGTTAATGTGTGCCATTGACATCATCACGCACAGCTGGCTTTCATGCGTTTTACCACTATGACATGGTGCAAGATCCCCCAGGGTGACAATTCCGAAGTTGATGATTGACATGTATTTGGGTTTAAAATGAGAGATACCTTTTTTTTTTTTTTTTCCTTTCTCCCCCTGGAGAATTTTATATTGTTGGTGGCTGGAAAACCTGCCTTAGAAATCAGGGTATTAGAGGGTGGCTCAGTCGGTTGAGCATCCGACTTTGGCTCAGGTCACGATCTCACAGTTCTTGGGTTCGAGCCCCGCGTCAGGCTCTGTGCTGACAGCTCAGAGCCTGGAGCCTGCTTTAGGTTCTGGATCTCCCTCTTCCTCTGACCCTCCCCTGTTTGCGCTCTGTCTCTCTCTCTTTCAAAAATAAACATTAAAAAAAAAAAAAAAGAAATCAGGATATTAGAGAAAAAGGTGTATATCTTCTGGTATCCGTTCGGGGCTCCTGGTATATCCAGAGGGCATTAAGAGCGGTGATAATCATCAGCTCTGGGAGCAGAAGAGGAGACACAAACACAGGGCATCTCCTTCGGATGCATAAATACAGCTTTGGTATTCCAAGGGTTCTCTGTGAGAATTTCTTGTTCCCTTCTGAGTTGAGAACAAATGGGCCAGTATTTGGTTGGGAGCAGTGAGGCCATGATGCTCTAAGGTCCCCCCACCCTGGGGCCTCTGGACCAGCACTTCCTCATTCCCTAAAAGGGAACTACCCCCTGACACAGGAAGTGGTTTGTTCGCATTGGCTACTGGGATAATAAAGGAAAAGCAGCAGTCCTGTGGGCACACCCTGTGTTGCAGAGGGCCCTCGAAGAAGATGGGGAAGTGAGTCTTGATTAAAGAATCTCGTCCACATGCTTGACCCGGGCACCCTAGTGACGCCGAGACCATTCAGTGTCAGGTCCACTTGGATCATCCAGGATAATCTCCCCATCTCGGTGTCTTTGGTTCAGTCACATTTATCGAGTCCTTCTTAAATTTAATTTGATTTGTTTTAATTTATGTTTTTATTTGAGAGAGAGAGAGAGAGTGGGGGAGAGAGAGAATATCTCAGGCAGGCTCCATGCTTAGCAGGGCCCCATCCCATGACTCTGGGATCATGAGCCGAGCTGAAATCAAGAGTTGGACGCTCAACCAACTGAGCCACCCAGGCGCCCCCGGCTAGTCCCTTTTTTTTATTATTAAAAAAAAAATTAGGGGCG